TGCCTTGATGTCAGTGAGGGGATTTTAATTCAGAGAACTGAACATAACCTTCCTTCCTTTGTATCAAACCTGATTGCCTTCTATTCCCCCATGTGCTGCATGACCTTCCAGGATTACCACTCTTCTGTGAATGTAATAAAATAATAATAACTACTCTCCTGTGACTAATAAGAAAAGGTGCCTGCATTTCGATTTTAGCAGAAAAGTGATTACTGGTAAGTTAGTTAGTTTAGGCACAGGTACACACAAGTACAATTATCATATATAGTAAGGGTTTAGTACTTGGTTTTGATTATGATAGTAATAACATACATGTAAATTACCTAGGATAAGCCAAAAAAGTCAGACAGGTTCCTTTATTATACAGTATGACACTTATGGGTTAAATGCCTCTCCCTGATTAAAAAAAAAATCAGTACATAATCTTGATGATAACAGCATAAAGGAGCTGAAAGAAACTTCATTTCTCTGTACAGTGTATAAAATGTAGCTTATATGTTAGTAAGATATTGTGACTGGTGGCAAAACCTCTCACTTCACATGCTGAGGTCCAGGTTCGATTCCTGGCAAGGATGGAAACTTTGGGTGTGTTTCCTTACACCTGTTGTTCATGTTCACCCATCAGTAAAAATTGGTTCCTGGGTGTTAGCTGACTGGTGTGGGTCGCATCCTGGGGAAAAACTGACCAAATTTCTGGGAAATGTTGTGCATAACAAGGAACTTTCTATATAGTAGAATGTCATTGATGTCAGTTATGTTCTGTATACCTTGTACATGTACTGGTAGTAAATTATAATATTAAACAAAGCCACTAGTATACATGTGCATTTCGCTACGTAAGTTTATTTAGGTACAGGAACACAGACAGTTACATAAATTAGTAAGTTTATAAATACAGTTACATAGATTATCATACATAGCACATTGTATAACTTGTACAGTATAGTAACCTTGTACATGTACTAGTATACCTTGTACATGTATGTATACCTTGTACATGTACTAGTATACCTTGTACATGTACTAGTATACCTTGTACATGTACTGTATACCTTGTACATGTACTTGTATACCTTGTACATGTACTTGTATACCTTGTACATGTACTAGTATACCTTGTACATGTACTAGTATACCTTGTACATGTACTTGTATACCTTGTACATGTAACTTGTATCATTGTCAGACCTTGTACATGTACTGTATACCTTGTACATGTACTAGTATACCTTGTACATGTACTAGTATACCTTGTACATGTACTGTATACCTTGTACATGTACTAGTATACCTTGTACATGTACTTGTATACCTTGTACATGTACTAGTATACCTTGTACATGTACTGTATACCTTGTACATGTACTAGTATACCTTGTACATGTACTTGTATACCTTGTACATGTACTAGTATACCTTGTACATGTACTTGTATACCTTGTACATGTACTAGTATACCTTGTACATGTACTTGTATACCTTGTACATGTACTAGTATACCTTGTACATGTACTTGTATACCTTGTACATGTACTAGTATACCTTGTACATGTACTAGTATACCTTGTACATGTACTAGTATACCTTGTACATGTACTTGTATACCTTGTACATGTACTTGTATACCTTGTACATGTACTAGTATACCTTGTACATGTACTAGTATACCTTGTACATGTACTTGTATACCTTGTACATGTACTTGTATACCTTGTACATGTACTTGTATACCTTGTACATGTACTAGTATACCTTGTACATGTACTTGTAACTGTACAACTTGTATACCTGTACATTATAGTAACCTTGTACATGTACTAGTATACCTTGTACATGTACTAGTATACCTTGTACATGTACTAGTATACCTTGTACATGTACTTGTATACCTTGTACATGTACTTGTATACTCTTACTGTACTTGTAACTTGTACATGTACTGTATACCTTGTACATGTACTAGTATACCTTGTACATGTACTTGTATACCTTGTAACATGTACTTAGTATACCTTGTACATGTACTAGTATACCTTGTACATGTACTAGTATACCTTGTACATGTACTTGTATACCTTGTACATGTACTAGTATACCTTGTACATGTACTTGTATACCTTGTACATGTACTAGTATACCTTGTACATGTACTAGTATACCTTGTACATGTACTAGTATACCTTGTACATGTACTGTATACTTGTACATGTACTTGTATACCTTGTACATGTACTTGTATACCTTGTACATGTACTAGTATACCTTGTACATGTACTAGTATACCTTGTACATGTACTTGTATACCTTGTACATGTACTAGTATACCTTGTACATGTACTAGTATACCTTGTACATGTACTAGTATACCTTGTACATGTACTAGTATACCTTGTACATGTACTTGTATACCTTGTACATGTACTGTATACCTTGTACATGTACTAGTATACCTTGTACATGTACTAGTATACCTTGTACATGTACTTGTATACCTTGTACATGTACTAGTATACCTTGTACATGTACTAGTATACCTTGTACATGTTACTTGTATTACCTTGTACATGTACTTGTATACCTTGTACATGTACTGTATACCTTGTACATGTACTAGTATACCTTGTACATGTACTAGTATACCTTGTACATGTACTTTATACTTGTACATGTACTGTATACTTACATTACTGACTTACATGTACTAGTATACCTTGTACATGTACTAGTATACCTTGTACATGTACTAGTATACCTTGTACATGTACTAGTATACCTTGTACATGTACTAGTATACCTTGTACATTGTACCTGTTGCTAGTACCTTGTACATGTACTAGTATACCTTGTACATGTACTAGTATACCTTGTACATGTACTAGTATACCTTGTACATGTACTTGTATACCTTGTACATGTACTAGTATACCTTGTACATGTACTAGTATACCTTGTACATGTAACTAGATATACCTTGTACATGTACTTGTATACCTTGTACATGGCCTACTAGTTATAACCTTGTACATGTACTAGTAATACCTGTACATGTACTAGTATATACCTTGTACATGTACTTGTATACCTTGTACATGTACTTGTATACCTTGTACATGTACTAGTATACCTTGTACATGTACTAGTATACCTTGTACATGTACTAGTATACCTTGTACATGTACTAGTATACCTTGTACATGTACTAGTATATACCTTGTACATGTACTAGTATACCTTGTACATATGTACTAGTAATAACCTTGTACATGTACTAGTATACCTTGTACATGTACTTGTATACCTTGCATATGTACTAGTATACCTTGTACATGTACTAGTGTACCCTGTACATGTACTTGTAGTAAATAAAGATATGATTATTATTATTATTATTATTATTATTATTATTATTATTATTATTATTATTATTATTATTATTATTAAAAAAGTCAGACATGTTGGGTAAAATCTGTCTTGTATTTGAAGGTTGAACAATATGAACTATGTAAGTGTTGGACCCTGACGACATGAAGTAAGTTATGACCCTTGTGGGTTTAGCGCTTACAACAGTTATGTTCGTGCGGGGTTTAAACGTGTAAAGTAATCATTCTTCTATGTTTGTTGTGAAAATCAAGTCAATTCATTCATAAATAAGGATGGATTGACCCTAAATATGTAAATAACTTACTTCCGAGATATAGGCGGCAGCGCACGGCACACCAGGTGCCCGCCAAATTTTGTTTTTCCCGAAAAATTCGCTTTATTTTACACTTTTTTCCGTGACCTACAAGTGTTTATTACAGTTAACCATTGTAAATCTACGTTTTCTTTTATTACAAATAAGAGAATGGGTCCTTTTACCTTCAGGGGATATATTGCTAGAATTTTGTTTCCACTGGGGCGTCATATTATGCTATATATTATTTTTTTCTGGTGTACTTTTTATGTTTCTATGCTATTATTATATTGCATTATGTGATAGGTAAATAAGCCTTATAATTGATATTAGCGTGGATATGGAATATTTTGTTGGGTACTTATCTCTTACTATACCCAGGGGTACCAGATTGGTCCCTTGACAATATTAGCTCCGCCCACTCCGCCATTATCTCAGAAGGTGAATTTGAATTATATTAGACATACAGATATAAGAAAACGATAAAAATAACATAGGGAAAAAATGCGGCGTCAGCGCTTGTTAGGCAAGGCGGTGTCACCATGCCTGTTATAAATGACTGTAATTCCTTTTAGAAACATCGTACAAGGATAATAATTATACCAGAGTGTAGCCAGAAAGTTCAGCTATTTTTTGGTAACAATAATTCAATTTCGTATTTGTTCGAGTTTTTTTTTAATCCGAGCGGCAATGACCTGATGGACCATCATGGTACTGAAGCAATGTTGATCCAAGGAATTGGAATAACTATTTTTTTTTCCATTGGATCAAACATGAACATTTTTCGTTCTATAGGCGTTGAATGATTATTATTATTATTATTATTATTATTATTATTATTATTATTATTATTATTATTATTATTATTATTATTATTATTATTATTATTATTATTATTATTATATTTTGATGTGATTATTATTATTATTATTATTATTATTATTATTATTATTATTATTATTATTATTATTATTATTATTTTAGTTATTTAGTGATAATATAGATGACCAAAAAGTATTAATTAATATACTCTGGTTAATTAATACGTCACAATATATCATACTTGCAAAACATCAAAAATTAACACAATAAACCTGAATAAAACAAAAATATCCCCAAAATAAACACTTGAGTTATTTTTGGGGTTTTATGAGTAGGTTTTTGGCAGTCATAATTATAATAAATAATAATTTGGCGTTACTGGGTAAAATATACACATATATTAATAACTATAGCTATACATCTGTACCAAAAATAAACTTAATAAGTAAAAGAACGACGGTTTTTTAACGTAAATACAAAAATTTGAAAAAAAGGCGGGAATATTTTTCCCGGGAAGTTGCGCAGTATTATTGTTGTGTCTGGTGACTGCTGTGTTACTGCTGTTACTGCTGTTACTGCTGTGTTACTGCTGTTACTACTGAGACATCATGCCTGGAGAGCTCAAGTGTGTGCTGCGCTTCAAGAAGCTCACTCATAATGCTCTAACTCCCAGTAAAGGCTCAAAATTTGCTGCTGGATATGACTTGTGTAGGTACGTTCACCCAGACTTATACAAATTCAAATTTATCTTCTGCATTAGATAAGCTCCTCTGGCTCCTCATTCAAATTCATCTTCTGCATTAGAAAGGCTCCTCTGACCCCTCCTTCGAATGAATTTCTTCCCATAAGTAATAATGAAAATTAGATTAATCCATTTCAGACCCCCAGAAATATATATACTACAAAATCATTCACAAAAATACACATACGTAACTGTTTGAGTTATAAGGTGGTGGTAACTCAAGGTACCACTGTACTTGTATTCAGTGCTGGAAGGTGGAAATAAGTCACTGACATTTTTTGGGGGTTATCCTAGGTAATTATGTATATACTGGAAAACATTAGGACACGTTTCCATAAGATACCTGCTGTCCTTGTTCACCTATCAGTAAAATTAGTACCTTCGTGTTAGTGAACTGGTGTAGGTTGCATCCTGGGGACAATTAAACGGTCCCATAAATAGCAAAAAAAAGGCACAATACCGTGATTGGAACAATACACAAATAACCAGCATATAATTCCTTTCTGTTAGTGTAACTTTGTAAATGGTCCAAATTGGACTGAAATGTCACCGTAAGCTCAATTCTTCTATGTGCGGGTTATTTGTGTATTAAAATACCCCAGTGTAAATAAGACAGTCCTTAGTGATGCACACTGTTGGATTATCCTGGGTGGCTAACCTTCCAAGTTGAAAATCCATACAAAATCTTATCTAAATTCTACATAATTTGCTAGATAAAACTATTGTAAAACTTATATATATGGAGCCTAAATAAAGACAAGTAAAGCCATCATGTTAAAAAATATTATGTCCAGTCACCAACTGTGTGTGAGATTGACTTAAAAAGTAAGTTAAATACTGGTCAAGGCCCAGGCTGTGGGGTTGTGTTAACACTTGTAACAGCCTCCAGGTAGACTCAAGGTATGGTTAGTTGAGTTGGAACTGCCTTTCATGATCTGGGGCTTTTGTTCGAAAATAATTGAACATATCCTTTGCTTAAATCAAATGTGGTTACCTCCTGTTTCCCAGGTGACGTATGATCTCTTGAGTTTAACTCTTCCCATTTTTTTTTTCAACAAGTCGGCCGTCTCCCACCGAGGCAGGGTGACCCAAAAAGTGAGAAAATCCCCAAAAAGAAAATACTTTCATCATCATTCAACACTTTCACCTCACACATAATCACTGTTTTTGCAGAGGTGCTCAGAATACAACAGTTTAGAAGTATATACATATAAAAATACACCATATATCCCTCCAAACTGTCAATATCTCAAACCCCTCCTTTAGAGTGCAGGCATTGTACTTCCCATTTCCAGAACTCGTGTCCGGTTATATAAAATAACCGGTTTCCATGAATCCCTTCATTAAATATTACCCTGCTCACACTCCAACAGATTGTCAGGTCCCAAATACCATTTGTCTCCATTCACTAATATCTAACACGCTCACGCACGCTTGCTGGAACTCCAAACCCCTCGCCCACAACACCTCCTTTACCCCCCTCCCTCCAACCTTTTCGAGGACGACCCCTACCCCGCTTTCCTTCCCCTACAGATTTATACGCTCTCCATGTCATTCTACTTTGATCCATTCTCTCTAAATGACCAAACCACCTCAACAAACCCTCTTCAGCCCTCTGACTAATACTTTTATTAACTCCATACCTTCTAATTTCCACACTTCAAATTTTCTGCATAATATTTACACCACACATTGCCCTTAGACAGGACATCTCCACTGCCTCCAACCGTCTCCTCGCTGCTGCATTTACAACCCAAGCTTCACACCCATATAAGTGTTGGTACTACTATAGTTTCATACATTCCCTTCTTTGCCTCCTTAGATAACATTTTTTGCCTCCACATATACCTCAATACACCACTCACCTTTTTTCCTTCATCAATTCTATGATTAACCTCATCCTTCATAAATCCATCCGCTGACATGTCAACTCCCAAGTATCTGAGAACATTCATTTCTTCCATACTCCTCCTCCCCAATTTGATATCCAATTTTTCTTTATCTAAATCATTTGATACCCTCATCACCTTACTCTTTTCTATGTTCACTTTCAACTTTCTACTTTTACACACACTCCCAAATTCGTCCACTAACCTTTGCAATTTTTCTTTAGAATCTCCCATAAGCACAGTATCATCAGCAAAAAGTAACTGTGTCAATTCCCATTTTGTATTTAATTCCCCATAATTTAATCCCACCCCTCTCCCGAACACCCTAGCATTTACTTCTTTTACAACCCCATCTATAAATATTAAACAACCATGGTGACATTACACATCCCTGTATAAGACTTACTTTTACCAGGAAGTAGTCTCCCTCTCTTCTACACACCCTAACCTGAGCCTCACTATCCTCATAAAAACTTTTTACAGCATTTAGTAACTTACCACCTATTCCATATACTTGCAACATCTGCCACATTGCTCCCCTATCCACTATCATATGCCTTTTTTAAATCCATAAATGTCATGAAAACTTCCCTACCTTTATCTAAATACTGTTCACATATATGCTTCAATGTAAACACTTCATCTACACATCCCCTACCCACTCTACAACCTCCTTGCTCGTCCTCTTCCCATGTATGTACTAATTGTGGTTAATACAGATATTTTTAGGAATGTAGAGGTATTCTAAATTGTCATCAAAACATGTCAGTTTTGTAGGTAATAATAGACTACTGCTTCTCGGCAGATTTTGTCAAAGTGCCATGGTTTGACAAATTTGCTAAAGTCTTTTGATGTCATAAGTGTTAAGAACATAAGAACAAAGGAACACTGCAGAAGGCCTACTGGCCCATGTGAGGCAGGTCCAAGTCTCCTACTGGCTTAAGCCAATGCACCCAACCTAGTCAGGTCAGGTCACATTGACTTAAGGGAGGAACACGGCAACCGACCTGGTAGCACAAGCTATCAGGTCCAACTCACACCCACCCACATCCACTCATGTATTTATCCAACCTATTTTTAAAGCTGCACAACGTTCTGGCCTCTATAACTGTACTCGGGAGTTTGTTCCACTCATCCACAACTCTATTACCAAACCAGTACTTTCCTATATCCTTCCTGAATCTGAATTTTTCCAACTTAAAACCATTGCTGCGAGTCCTGTCTAGGCTAGATATTTTCAGCACACTATTTACATCCCCTTTATTTATTCCTGTCTTCCATTTATACACCTCAATCATATCCCCCCTAATTCTACGTCTTTCTAGAGAGTGCAGATTCAGGGCCCTTAGTCTATCCTCATAGGGAAGGTTTCTGATACATGGGATCAACTTTGTCATCCTCCTTTGTACATTTTCCAGAGCATTTATATCCATTCTGTAATACGGTGACCAAAACTGTGCAGCATAATCTAAACTAACCAGAACTCCTAAATCTTTTTCGCAGTCCGTAATATTACATTTAGTCCGTAATATTACATTTAGTTTATATGTGGCATGGTTATTGTCCTGTCCAACATTTAGAACTTTGCATTTGTCTATACAGTGGACCCTCAACCAGCGATATTAATCCGTTCCTGAGAGCTCATCGTTAGTCAAAATAATCGTTAGTCAAGTTAATTTTCCCCATAAGAAATAATGGAAATCAAATTAATCCGTGCAAGACGCCCAAAAGTATTGAAAAAAAAATTTTTTACCACATGAAATATTAATTTTAATACACAAACTGAAGATTACATGCACAGTTACATGACACTTACCTTTATTGAAGATCTGGTGATGATTGATGGGATGGGAGGAGGGGAGAGGTGTTAATGTTTAGAAGGGGAATCCCCTTCCATTAGCACTTGAGGCAGCAAGTCTTTTTCTGGGGTTACTTCCCTTGTTCTTTTAATGCCACTAGGACCAGCTTCGGAGTCACTGGACTTCTGTCGCACAACATATCTCTCCATAGAGGCCTGTACCTCTCGTTCCTTTATGACTTTCCTAAAGTGGTTCACAACATTGTCAGTGTACAGGTTGCCAACACGGCTTGCAGTAGCTGTGTCAGGATGATTATCATCCATAAAGCTTTGCACTTTAAGCCACATTGCACAGATTTCCTTAATCTTAGAAGTAGGCAACTTCTTCAATTTCTCTCTCCCCTCCTCCGAAGCAGTTTCCTCAGGTCTGCCCTCTTGCTGTTCAAGATGATCTAGCAGCTCATCAGTGGTTAGTTCTTCACTGTCCTCCACCACCAACTCTTCCACATCCTCCCACTAACCTCCAACCCCAAGGACTTCCCCAATGCCACAATGGATTCCTCAACTGGCATAGGATTCTCAGGGTTAGCCTCAAACCCTTCAAAATCCCTTTTGTCTACACATTCTGGCCACAGTTTTTTCCAAGCAGAGTTCAATGTCCTCTTAGTCACTTCCTCCCAAGCCTTACCTATAATGTTTACACAGTTGAGGATGGTAAAGTGATCTTTCCAAAACTCTCTTAGAGTCAGTTGAGTTTCTGAGGTCACTACAAAGCACCTTTCAAACATAGCTTTTGTGTACAGTTTCTTGAAGTTGGAAATAACCTGCTGGTCCATGGGCTGCAGGAGAGGAGTGGTATTAGGAGGCAAAAACTTCACCTTAATGAAGCTCATGTCCCTAGAAAGTCGCTCTGCCACATCTGTAGGATGACCAGGGGCATTGTCTAATACCAGGAGGTACTTAAGGTCTAATTTCTTTTGAATTAGGTAATTTTTCACATCGGGGGCAAATGCATGGTGTAACCAGTCATAGAAAAACTCCCTAGTGACCCATGCCTTACTGTTTGCCCTCCACAGCACACACAAATTAGCCTTGAGGACATTGTTTTTCCTGAACACTCTGGGGTTTCAGAGTGATACACCAATAAAGGCTTCACTTTGCAATCACCACTAGCATTGGCACACATCAACAGAGTAAGCCTGTCTTTCATAGGCTTATATCCTGGGAGTGCCTTTTTCCTCCTGAGTAATGTACGTCCTGCTTGGCATTTTCTTCCAAAACAGGCCTGTTTCGTCACAATTAAACACTTGTTCAGGTTTCAGTCCTTCACTGTCTATGTACTCCTTGAATTCCTGCACATATTTTTCAGCCGCTTTGTGGTCCGAACTGGCAGCCTCACCATGCCTTATCACACTATGAATGCCACGACGCTTCTTAAATCTCTCAAACCAACCTTTGCTGGCCTTAAATTCTCTCACATCACTAGTTGCTGGCATTTTTTTAATTAAATCGTCATGCAACTTCCTAGCCTTTTCACATATGATCGCTTGAGAGATGCTGTCTCCTGCTATCTGTTTCTCGTTTATCCACACCAATAACAGTCTCTCAACATCTTCAAGTACTTGCGATCTCAGTTTCGAAAACATAGTTGCACCTTTGGCAAGAACAGCTTCCTTGATTGCCATTTTCTTGCCCACAATAGTAGCGATGGTTGATTGGGGTTTATTATACAAGCTGACCAGCTCAGAGATACGCACTCCACTTTCATATTTATCAATGATCTCTTTCTTCATCTCCATAGTAATTCTCACCCTTTTTGCTGTAGGGTTGGCACTAGAAGCTTTCTTGGGGCCCATGGTGACTTATTTTGCAGGTGCAATCACTAAAAAGGCTGTGATAATATGAAATGTTCCAGTTGTATGTTTGGAAGCGACCGCGGTGGCTGGCTAGCTTGTAAACACTGGCACCCACGGGACAAGTGAGGCGCGCTCAGGCCAAAGTGGACGCGTATGGTACGGACCGAATAGCGCTGGTCGGGTTTTTAAGTGCTAGTCGAGGCAAAATTTTTGCGTTTAAATGAATCGCTAGTCAGATTTATCGTTAATCGATGCCATCGCTGGTCGAGGGTCCACTGTATTAAACTGCATCTGCCACTTCTCCGACCACTGCATCAGTCTATTCAAATCTTCCTGAAGTGCTCGAATGTCCTCGTCAGAATGAATTCGACGGCCTATTTTGGTGTCATCGGCAAACTTGCCAATGTTACTCTTTATGCCCTCATCTATGTCGTTTATGTAGATTGTGAACAGCAGGGGGCCCAACACTGACCCCTGTGGAACACCGCTCGTGGCTCTTCCCCACTCTGATTTCTCCCCATTTATGCAAACTCTCTGCTGCCTATTTGTCAACCATGCCTCTGTCCAGGAAAAAATTTCTCCTCCTATTTCATGTGCCTTAATTTTCCTCAATAGTCTCTGATGTGGGACCCTGTCAAAAGCCTTACTGAAGTCCATATACACAATATATTCATTACCATGATCTACCTCCTCAAATACCTTAGTGAAAAAAGTTAATAAATTTGTAAGGCAGGAACGCCCCTTTGTAAAACCATGCTGAGATTCGTTGATTAATTTATGCTTTTCAAGGTGGCTATGAACTGCCTCGGCAATTATTGATTCCATAAATTTTCCCACTATGGAGGTTAGGCTTATTGGTCTATAGTTCGAAGCTAAGAACCTGTCACCTGCTTTAAAAATAGGTATCGCATTTGCCATTTTCCACTTATCTGGCACCATGCCAGTTTGTAGTGATATGTTGAAAAGATTAGCCAAAGGTTTGCTAAGCTCCTCTTTACATTCCTTTAGAACCCTTGCATACAGTTCATCAGGGCCTGGGGATTTGTTAGGTTTTAATTTATCTATTTGCCTAAGGACCATGTCACTTGTGACCCTAATCGTGCAGAGTTTATTATCGTCCTGTTCTACATAATTTATCATTTCTGGAATATCGCTGGTATCCTCCTGTGTAAAAACTGAGAGGAAGTATGTGTTAAAAATTCTACACATTTCCTTATCACTGTCGGTGAGCTGACCCGAGGAACTTTTGAGTGGGCATATCTTGTCCCTGATCTTACTTCTGTAAACCTGAAAGAATCCTTTTGGGTTAGTCTTCGATTCTCTTGCAACTTTAACCTCATAATCTCTTTTTGCTTTTCTAATTCCCTTTTTTATTTCTCTCTTTAACTGAATATATCGATTTCTTAATTGTCCCTCTCCTCTTTTGATTTGCCTATATATGCCTCTCTTTTGACCAATCAGATATTTTAATCTATTGTTCATCCATTTAGGATCATTTTTGTTTGATCTGATTTCCCTATTTGGAACAATTTGACTGAGCAGCTAGAACTATGCCCTGGAAAGCATCATATCGGCAACCATCACCACCTACCTGACCCTTAGTCAGGTCATTCCAGTTCAGCCCACCCAAGTACTTTTTCAGTCCTATGAAATCAGCCAAGCGAAAGTCAGGGACGGAGACTTGATTGCCATTATTAGGGGAATTCCATGATATATTAAAACTGAGTGATTTGTGATCACTTTCCCCAAGCTCATCATTAACCTCAAGATTATTAATTAGTGTTTCCCTACTGGCAAGAACCAAGTCAAGGAGGTTATTTCCCCTAGTTGGCTCTGTCACAAACTGTTTTAAAAAACAATCCTGGATCGTATCAATAAAGTCACCTGACTCTAATTTTCCTGTCAAATTGCTCCAGTCAATCTGTCTATAGTTGAAATCTCCCATTAGCACAACATTTTCGTATGTAGATGCCTTACGAATTTCGTCCGATAGAAGTTTACTGCACTCCCTAAGATAAATTTATTTGGATTTTTAACCTGGAGGGTTAGTCACCCAGGATAACCAAAGAAAGTCGGTATTCCATAGAGGACTGTCCATTAATCTGGTCCTCCCAGGATGCAACCCACACTAGTTGAATAACATCCAGGTAATACACCTACCATCCGACTTACGACCTGCTCGACTTACGACCACTCGACTTACGACCGTGTTTTTTATGCCAAATTTCTGGGAAATAAACAACTATTTGTGTTGTGCACAGTGTTTATCCTAAACCTTACAGTATAAAATACAGTACTAACAACATAAAAAGTAAAGTAAAACATGAAATACCAAAATAAAACAATAAAATAAAGTCATTACAAAAATGTTTTGTTGATATTCAGTAGTAAAGTTCGACTTACGACCATTTCGACTTACGACCGGTTTCTCGGAACCGAACTCAGTCGTAAGTCGGATGGTAGGTGTACCTACATTCTGCTAGGTAAGCTGGGACAGCAGGTATAAGGAAACTTGCCCAAAATTTCACCTGTGCTGGAACTGAGCTGAGGGCACATGAAATACTGTTATTTATAAATGTTGAATATGGCTTGAATTAACCCCTTTTTCACAGGTATTTCTGTGGGGGTGTGTGTCAAATCAATGCACTTTTTTTTAGTAGCTTTATTTACACGTTTTCAGTGCTTATGATGTCACAGTACCAGCAACTGGAAAAGCTCTGATCAAGACGGACATTCAAGTAGAGTTACCTGAGGGTTGTTATGGCAGAGTGGCTCCACGATCTGGGCTGGCATGGAAGAATCACATTGATGTAGCTGGTTAGTAACTCATGTGGCACACTATTTATCTAGATCTCTCTTAGTGCAATAAAATTATTTCTTTGTGGTACAAATAATGTAGTTTACAGAATCTGGAAAATACTAAGGAGCATTCAGATTCAAAATACGTAGTTTGTTGAATCCATTTGTATGGAGAATAGTCATACAAGCTGAAAAATATATTATATTTGATAAAGCACCATAATTTGCTTTTTTGTGCAATATTATTTGTTTGAGTCTTCATTATCCCCAAGATTTTCATTTTTACCCCATTTTGGGTAATTTACCCCAGTTTGCTGACCTCTGTTCTAAATTATCCTAGGTACCATTATAAAACAAATATTTTATCTAAGCCTCAGTTTTTACTATCATTTCAGCTGGTGTTATTGATAGAGACTACAGAGGTAATGTTGGCGTAGTTCTCTTCAACCATGCCAAGGTTGAGTTCCAAGTGAAGAAAGGTGACCGCATAGCTCAACTCATTTGTGAAAGAATATTTTATCCTGAGTTGGAAGAAGTGGAGGTTTGTATTTTAGAGGTTCGTCAGTTCACTAAATTAAAAGATATATACGTATTGGTATTTTGTAAGTTTTTGGTTTATGCATATTTTCAAATAAACCCTAGCTATTTGTATCCTTGAAATTATTGTAACCAAAATGACTAGTGTAAAAAGGAAAATGACTAAACATTACAGCAAATATAAATTACTCATTGTACAAGAAAGTTCATACCAATAAGACAGGTTTAGCAAGTCAGCACAACCTCAATTTTTGTGTTCTGGAGAGGCAGCTAGAGAATGAGTGATGGTAAATATGTTTTCTTTGGTTCACCAAAAAAAAATCTGATTATACTGTAGACTTCTGAGTGTGTAGGGATGCTGGGAAACCAGTCAGCAAGACCTGAGTTTTGGAAGTGGGAAGTACAATGCCTGCACTCTACAGGTGGTGGTTGGAATATTTGCTGTTTGGAGGGACATCTAAACTGTCATATCTTCATGCCTGTGGCAAGACAATAATAGTGTGAATGATGGTGAAACTTTCTTTTTCGGGTTACCTTGTCTTGGTGGGAGACAGCCAGTGTGTTTAAAAAAGTTCGGAAAGGTCCAAAGAAGAGCTACAAAAGTGTACTGAGTTTTGATGAAAGGTTGACAAACACTGAAGATGTCAGTGGTGGTTGATAGGAAAAGGAGACAGGACTTGCATACAAGGTCATAAAAGATAGACCTCGTAGTGGGATAACAGGAGGTCACAGTTGTAAATTGAGGGGGGATGGGGGAAGTGGAACCAAAGAGATACTAGGAAATTTTTCTGAAATTGGTGCACAATATTGGTAAGATAAGTTAGAATAGTTCATCAATAATCCTCATGCTAGTATACCATAAACAGCAATATCTTATGCTTGTATATCCCGTTTTCTGATAATTATACGTAATTTTTCTTTCGTTTGTCAGGAACTTGCAGACACAGAACGTGGTGAAGGCGGTTTTGGATCAACCGGAATTTGTAAAAGGCAGTAGTAATTGGAACGATACATCTTTTCTGCTATCTAGTGCATAACTATGAGGGAAAAAAAAAATTGTAAATCATTGAGTGTTATGATATTTATGCCTTTGACTTTTAAGACTACTAGAATAGATTTTTTGGGTTTTACAAAAAATTATTTAGTATCACATTGTACTTTTAGGTTTTTAATTGCACATATAATATCATGTTTTTTATGACTCCTTTTGTGTCGTATAGTACTGAATCTCATCAAAGTTGTAATTATTGTATTAGTATTTTTCATATTCTGCTAAAAACATTAAGATTGGAATAAAATATTTTGACGGTGACAATGTTAATTAATTCTTAGTAATCGACAAGGTGAGATACTCTTTTAACTTCTATCTCCTCACACAACTTGTGCACTCAAGTTGTTGGTGTGGTACTGTATAGTCTGTAACGGTTTAGTGTGTATTATAATGTCATTAATCTATACCCACATTCAAAAGTGCTTTAGTCATAGCCTCAAATAGTTTGTGTTGGCACTTTACCTATATACAGCTTGCAACTATTGGTACATCAATGTTAGCAATGCCTTTGAACCTACCAGTAAAACCTCAGTTTAATAATCCTTTTATTCGACAGATTTTAGAAACCATGAATAAAATCTGCTGGGTAAATTGATTTTGAAAACTGAAACTCGTCAAAAATCCAAACTTAGGAGAAACTTGTGATGACATTTGGGTATGTCCATTTCACTGGTGACTTTACCATGGTTCTGGGAGAAACCAAAATATTATCATGAGGTTTCTCTCCTAAGTGAGGGTTTCTGGTGAATGTTACAGCCCTCTGTATTTTAACAATTCTCAACAAAAGGCAAAAATCTGTTGCTAGAGAAAAAACGATCATAATTTCCACTAAAGGTAATATAATTACTGTTATTTTTTCTTTTCAAGTACAGTTGTCGTATCTTAACGTTGGTACTGTATTATTTATACGTCTGAAATTTTTTCATTAGATTTTACTAGGCAATTAACATTACCAGACACCTAATTTTGTTAAACAATGTTTTCGGATTTTGTGAGTGCTTTCCTGCCCCCAAACCCAAGTAAAATTTTCTGTCGGGGCTGCCTTTACCACCTGTTCCTTTTCCTTTCTTTTGCTTTTTTGCAGCATTTTCCCGTTGTACATATCTTGCCACTACCATTTAATTACAGTACTAGTTCTTTTTTTTTTGTTTAGACTCTAAAGAAAGGTAAAAGTAACCCAAAAACTTTTTTACAATATTATATTCTTCATTTCCTTGTTGGCTATGTTGATGTTGAGCAGACAGTTTTTTGCCGGCCTGGATTTAAGGGGTTTTTTCAGGGCAAGAGACTTGAATCCTTGTAGTCCGCCCTTTAAATTTTTCACAAGGGTGTCTTCCTAAAAATTTTTTTGGTATAGAATCTCCTAACTTACGATTGGGGCTTTTTAGAGCCCCATTATAATTGTTTTAAATGTTCATTTTGCTGTTGGAGGGTTCATGCAAAGTTTATATGCTAAGTGGGGAAGAAAAGGATTTGGCTATTCGCTATAGATGTGTGTAGTGGTTCATGCGTTTTTGGTTTTTTGTAAAAAACTGTTTTTAATTACTTTTATTGTTTGACAGGTTTGACGGGCAGGAGACCTACTCTGTTGTTTTGGTGTTTTTATGCAGACTGACTTAGTAACCAAAACTGAGTTATTGCCCCAACTATGACTTCTTATTTTGTATATTCGTTTTGTGCCTAGTTTTCCCTTGGTTTAAATGGGGGAAAATTCCCCCATCAATTGTTGGCAGTTGTGACCTGAAAAAAAGGGGTAAGGGGCCGGTAAATTACACTTGAACAACTTTTTTTTAAAAAATTAATTTCCAATCAGAGAACTTTAAAGTTTGTTGGAATAGACACTCCTTCCTTATAAAAAGGTACAAGAGGAAGGAGGGAGAAGTAAAAGGGAAGGTGCAGGTGCCCAGGTTATCAAGGGGGCGGGGGATGTAAAATGGGGGTGGTGAGGGAAGTAGAGAAACCTCGGGATTTGTATAATAGAATTCTTGGAACAGTTTGGGAAATGGTTTGCATGTGGGGTTTTTGAAATGAGGTTCAGGGTTTTGCTAAGGTATATGAAACTTGGATGGTGGAACCCTTGAGACACTGCCTGTGCTGTCACCCTCTCTAAGATTAATTTCTCAATCCATAAAATGAAAGTTGCATATGTCCCAGAATTCGATTAAGATCATGGTTGTCTTCTACCTGTTTGTCACCCAGAGAAAGGGAATAAACTAACCTTAAAGAGGGAAAAATGTTAAGGATGCTGGATACCCTTGTTTGGTTAAGTCATGTGGAACCGTGCCTTTGGGGAATGGGGGGGCTGCTTTGATACTGGTAAAGGATTTTGATCAAGGAATGGTCTCCCTTTTCTTACTTGGATGTCCGTATGGGTTTAGTTCTTCCTGTTATTAATGGGCATCCCATATTGACTTAGGAGGAGGGCAACCTAACTGTGGTACGTATTGACTGGTGCTGGGAGGATAATTCTGTATTTTCCCTTTTCCCTATAGGAACAGAAAATGTCTTAACTGTACGTTAAAAAATTGGTAGGTAAATTTAAACTGGTAGGGCTGTTCTTGGTATAGTGGCATTCTTTTTCCATGTAAGTGGTACTCTGGTGCAATTCTGAAGCCTGGTAAAATTGGATAAAGAAACCCACTAGCTTTTGAGATCATAAAGGAAGAAAGTGGCAAGGATGATCTTAAACTGTTTCTCCTGTTGTCCTCTTCAAGGGGTGCCCTTGGCATGTGAAGAAGCGCTTTGGTCTGAGGAATTAGACTTTCGGTCTTCATCCTCAGACCGAACCTAAATTAACCCCCCAATCTCCCCTCCCCATATCACACCCTCCCTTTTTCCTTTCCTCCTCCTCCTCCCCACCCCTCCTTTGTGCCCTTCCACCTTTTTGGCCTTTTGTGATTTCTCCCACAGGCGCGCTAGTTCCTATAGGGAAAGGAATACCGGGCCATCCCCTTCCGTTGAGGTTCTTGGCTGGTGGCGTAGTTTGCCGTGGAATCTGGATCGCTATGGGGATTCCCATCCCCCTTGGTATCCCGGAGTACTTTGGTTGTCTTTCGGGCGACGGTGTATCTCTGGAAGCCACTTTCGAATCCCGGGGTGGGGCCGAATGAGTATGCTTTTGTGGCGGATATCCGGCCCCCCTCTCTATTTGTCCACCGAGTAGATCGCAGATGTAGGTTGCTCTCCCGATTGCTGTTTACTGGCATGAAGTTAGGGGTGTATGGCATTGGTTCCATCTGCTTCTGCGTGCTTAGGTTCCTCTTGGCGCGAGGAGATTTCCGGCCCTTTCAATTCTTGCTGGGAACTATACTCCCACTCCCCCCTTTTTTTTTATCTTTTTTTTTTCATTTTATTTTTTCTTTTTTTTTTTCTTAAAAACAAAAAGCAAAGATTAACCTAACCATGGAGAACCCAATCCAGAACCCACTACCTCCCGGCCCGTGCTCTTGATACCGCATCCCATTCGACCCTGCCTTGTTTTAGACCACTCCTTGCGACACTCCTGATCCCCTGAACCTCTTGCTGGGCCTTTCCCTCACCCGCTTCAGGACCGGGCTTCGTCTGAACCTTCGATGGTCTGAAACTCCGCTCTCCTTGACTATGCTTCCGGCTTCTCCCTCTACGGTAACTGCAATTTTTGAATTGCCCGCCCATTTCAACCCGACCAAATCTGTCCTACTCCCTAAACGCCAACGTCAATCTCCTGATATGCTCCTTCGTTACCTTCCCATCTACTCGGAAAAGACCGACACATCATGCACGCCCTCCACCTCGCTCATTTCGACCACACAATGGACTAATTCTTTTACTTTACGTCCGACTTCTTCTGCCTACCTTTCTGACTAGTAATTGGCAAGCGCTCCTGCTCAATTTTTTGGTAAGAGGATATTTCAATTCATGCTCTCGAGCGCACGCGCATCGTCCACGTCCTGAATCTACCCATGGCTCATGTCTTTCTCTCCTTTCACATTAGATACTACTCCTATCACTATTGAAAAAAATCTTTCTCTCAATCTAGTAGAGGTACTGTCATTCTTGCCCCTACCATAGTCCAACATAATTGCAGTCATGTGGCAATGACATTCTTGAACAGCTGGAACTCCAGGATCTCCCCAATCCACAAAGTAGACACGTATGTCCTTGTCTGCCCGTGGATGGAGACTTACCACTGCTGTACTTGGTTTAACTTTTGACAGCCGAAACTCCCGCCTCTGTATATGTCGCGGGACATCGGTTACAATCGAAAAGTAAAACTACACCGCAACATGTAAAATTGCTGGCGTTTTGGTCACCCAGCGAAATATTGCAGATCTATGGCCGAAGCCCCATCTATTTGCCAACGACCATCTAATACATCTTGGCAGTCAACCACCATCTTGCCCTTAATGTATTAAGCTCACCCTTCGACCTCCCCGCCGTGCCAGGTCTACTTAAATAACTGGAATTCCATTGCCTCAAAGAAGCAAAGGTCCCCTATGCTATGGCAGTTACTCATCTCTGCCTCCAAGGGGAGACTACCCCGTGTTTCTTATTCTCGTGTTTCCAAACATCCCCCCACTTCTGGGGTCCCATCTCACAGCCTCCTCTTAGTTACCCCTCCCATAGCCACTCAGCATCTAAACCTTTTGCAGTCCTTGGCTCTGACGACCCGACTACAAACTCAGTCTATTCTCACATCTTCCGTCCTTTCCTCACAAGCCCTCATATCGAAAAGACCTCGTACACACCTACATACCAATCGCCCCTCTATTCGCAGAATCCAAAAATCCACATTGCGCAAATCTTCTTTGCCCCATCTCCCTTCTTCACCTCCACACTTTACTTTTCCAGTCGCTGGCCTAGTCTTCCCCTCTCGCACTGCTCTATTACAAGGTGTGGGAGATTCACCCTCCTCAACTATGCCTTCACCCCCGTCCCCTCCCCAAATATCTCCCTTTCTGCCACCTCCCAGGTTTCTGCCTCTTCTGTCCCCCCACACTTCAGCTCCATCCCCTACACTCTTTCCTCCCCTCTACTTTGGTATACAGTCCATTTACTGTCCCAATCTTTTACTCACCCTCCCCCTTCTATCTCCAATATGGACACCCATAGCATCGAAGAGTGAATCCTAAACACTGGTTGTGAAGCCCAGTTCAATATTTATATGCAGAGACTAAACCTTCAATGGACACTGATTCACTTACTGTTCCTTCACTTCCCTCTCCTCCATCTACACAACCCCATTCTGTCGCAACGCTTCCGTTTCCTTCTCTGCTTGTAACGTC